CCCCCAGTAGCTTCTTGCTCCTAGTAGTAAGGCCAGGAGCCTCTAGGAGAAAACTGTCAGGATTCTCAAGCAGGTAAGTGACTCTGTGAGGCTGTTCTGAGCTTAACCACATGCCACTGCCGATCATGCACGGACAGGTACGTTTAGTCTGGTCTTCGTTGGCCAGGGCAGACAGACGTGAGTTGCTGGTTTCATGTGCTTGAAAAAGCTCTCGCATCTGCATGACAACATGAAAGCTGTGCAAATGACTCAAACTCAATGAACCTGTTACTGCTTCTTAAAGCCGCACACACAGCGTGCACGCACGGGCATGCGCTTGTCATTCCTGTGACACCCCAACCTGCAGTGAGACTGCTTGCATCTAAGCGAGCCCATCGTACACCGGCCTCTCCCACAAGAATGAACCACGTTCAATGCGCAAAAAGTTCAACCAACCCAACAGGCTGATACTAGGTTGGAGGCCATCGCTACTAGAAACAAAAAGGTAAGGCAATACTCAACTGTAGCACTGAATGAAAGCGACAATGCCAGGCCTCCTGGCCGAGCCGCAAAAGTGCGGCCTCACTTCAAAAGAGCAGCCGCAACAGAATGAAAGCCGGGCCACACTTTGGTCACCTTGATTAAACTACTTGTTTGCAACAATGCCTTATTCTTCACATCTCTTCACATCGTAGAGGACGCTACTGGGAGCAAAGGGCATCGCTACTAGGAACAAGGACGCTACTAGGAGCTTTTTCAGCAATGCCCATTTGGGCTCCCGTAAGGTCTTGACATCACCAACGGAAGCACAGTCGCTGGCGAGCTTCAGCTCCAGCAGATTCTGCGGTTCGCACCAGATTTGTGTAAGGTGGAAAGGGATGCCTTTTAGACCATAAAGTTTTTTTTGTTTCTAGATTTTTAGGGAAATTTAGAAATGGCCTCCAACCTGATAGCAATGGCCTCCAACCTAATACTAATAACTATTAAATAGCAATGGCCTCCTTTTAGAAGCAAAGGGCAAAGAATGCATTTCGGCTACTTTGAAACACCTAAATTAGGTGTTTCAAAGTAGCCTAATTGAAATGTTCGGTTTCGCAAGGGCCGTTTAATGTTGCTCTACTCTTCTGTCCTCGCAGTTCGCACCACAATAAAACTGCACATCCTAAGAAAAGAAGAGCAAATCCATGCATGGACATCCTCATCCTCATCTTTCTGTCAAGATCAAGAGGTCTTAGATCTTTGACCCTCTAGATCCCTTCACTATCTTACTAGCACTTGAGAATTGGCACAAAAGCAAGAAGTAGCAGCGTAGCAGTTGAGTCTGGATTGAAAGGCGTTCCCTGATCGTAGAAAAATCGAGCAAACCCGAGACACGGAGGGGCAGTGAACCCGTTTGCAAAAAATGCTCAATCTGAGCTCCCCAAGGAGCCCCCTTATGAATTAGCAACAGCGTAATCTTTTCTGACAACCTCGAGAAACCAAGTGCACAACGAGTAGCTTGATTCCTTCGCGGCAGCACCGCAGCTGTGAGATTCCATACAGCTGCGTGCGCACAGCATAGCCTAAGAGGACTAAGAGGAAAAAAAACTGTTTTGTTTTGCATTCAATGAGTGTTGTCTCTTTGAATTGGCAGGGGGACAACCAGCGTTCTTCAAACAAGTTTTTCCCATGATCGGGGTAGTAAGTGTAGTCAACATGTCCACGCGTTCTGCTCGGGGCACAGTCCACCTCATGCTAGCACATGCCTAACTCAACGCCACCTTGCACCCGCCTCTTCGACTAACGCAGATGCCAAAAGGCAAGTTGCACAAGACGTATCAGGGGGTTCTGTAACTGCATCTCCCTTCACTACGCAATGCATTTATGTGCGTACTCGAGGAGCATGAAAAGGAGTGAGGGGTGCACATTAGACAATCAAAAATAACGATCAGTTTTATGCATGACCGGTCCTTCTAAGTGGTGTGCACTAGTCGCAACACTCCACTTGGAGGCCATCGCTTCTAGGTTGGAGGCCATTCCTGATGAGCTGGAGCACTTGTATTGTTGCTTGAACAACTTTTAAGACTTCTTGCCCACTTCGTCAGTGCCGAGGGAGCTTGACCAAGCAGAATGTTCCAAACGTTTAGATGTTCTCAATTGATGTGTTTGAACTCATTTGCAACCGATGCTGAGGAAGACAGTGTTCCAGAGTCTTCTGTGTGGTTTCCTCCTTCCGCTTTAGGTGCTTCTAAGATCTGATTGAGGTTGTGCTCTGCAGAGCAAAAACACAAACAGCAAGGTGTGAGCACAAACAGCAACATTGACTCACCAAAGCGCTCGGCATCCCATGATTGTGGTAGTTTTGTTGAGTGCGGTCACACAATCATTGATCATGTCACACTCCCCTGCCAAAACCAATAACTGGCGGATATAAACGCACACAAGGACACCAAATACAAGCCCAACCCGTCCCGCTAGTCAGTGGCCCGACGCCGGTGGCCCGACAACAGTGTCCCTCAATGGCTCCACTCGATAACGGACAGCAGACAATGACAATGGTGACACCAAACATCACGACAGTCACGACACACATAATACTGTAGTTTCTTGTTCCTAGTAGTAAGGCAGTAGTAAGGCCGGGAGCTACTAGTAGCGTCCGATCGCTCCTAGTAGCGATGCCCTTTGCTACTAGTAGTGATGCCCTTAGTAGCTTCTTGGGAAAGACGTGACAAGAGAAAACATCTCTGTTCCTTTAGGGTTTAGGCCGGTTAGAGAGGTAAGCTAGTAGCTGACAAGTAGCTGTCGTAGCAAGAAAGCTACTGGACAGGGGTCGCTTGAAGAACCCTTCGCATTGATTTGGTTCGATGTTTAGCAAACCTTTTAGAAAAAACAATAAGCTACTAGGAACAAGTGCATCGCTTCTAGTAACAAGTGCCTTACTAGTAGTTACAAGAAGCAATTAGAAACAATAACTAATTGTATTTTGAGAGTATATTTCCTTGAGTTGATAGAAGCGATGGCCTCCAACCTAAGTTTACCTTTTAGACTCCTTTGCTGTTTGATCAACATGTTTTTCCTTCCTTTCTTGTTCTTTTCGCACCATGTCCCCCAATTGTCAAGGCCTTGGGCTGATGGGGCCATGTTTGATAGAGGCATTTAAACGTGCTTTTCTGTTCTGTGGTTGACTTGGTCAAAGTGTTTTGTCTTTATAGCTCAACGATTTTATCCCCACTGCACAGCATCGGTTCAGAAATGTCTGGTACAAGCAGCGAATCCCAGCTTGTTTTAGCTGCATAGCAGAACCATCGATGTTAGTGAAGAAATACACACGGCATTGAGTTCTAGCATGTTTTTCTCTTGTGGACGTGAAACCAGGTAAAACAAAACAATGACACACTGTCAAAGCACGAGTCTCAACATTAGTATTGTCGTTCTCAAAATGGTAAAGCAACATCTTCCAGGCAAATTCCAATGGCACGCGCAAATTTGTGTTCACGTAGCTTTTGGAGGCGCACATATGCTGCTCACACGCAGGGTTGGATTGACTTTCTTGATATGCATCGGCGTAGCAAAAGTACTAGTATTAGTCCTGCCGTCAAGAAATTCAGCATTCAACTTTGCATTTGTTGTCACCCTGAGTAATCACAACACTGCACAACGGCATGAATTGGCTCTGTGCAACCTGCATGATAACCATTATTATGCAAACCATTGTCTTCAACCCCCAATGTGGTTCCCAAGTGGTCGCAAATCCCACTAATAGCGTCCTTGTTACCTGTAGTAAGGCCAGGAGCCCCAATTAGTAGCGTCCTTGCTCCCAGTAGTACGGCCAGGAGCCCCTAGTAGCGTCCTTGTTCCTGTTTGCATAAATATCCCACACAAGAAGCTGCTCTCTCGTGCTTATGACACCATCTAAGCGCTCCGACAGACATGTGAAAGCGAGCCAGAAGGCCTCACACTGCAAGGTTTAGGAGTTGACATGTGAGAAGAAACACCAAGCAAATGTGGAAGATTGTGAAAGCCTGGAAACCAACCTAGGAGCAAGGACGCTACTAGGGGCTCCTGGCCTTACTACCGGGAACAAGAAGCTACTAGGGGCTCCTGGCATTGCTGCTAGGAGCAAGAAAGCTACTAGTTGGCGATGGCCTCCAACATACTAGCGATGCCCTAAAGAAATCTGAAAGCTCTTGGCACCTTCTTTGGGCCTCTGCTGGGCGACATGACCGCACATGGCTTCTTGTCCCCTTGCAGCTTTGCAAGTGGACTTGAGCCGTTCAGGGATGCAATTTCATGGCAAATACCAAGCAAAAGTCTGAAGAAAGAATACATACAATTATGAAAAGGGAAGGTGAGGTCAGATTAGAGGTGGCTTATCTTCTAGTTTTTATCACTGTCTTTCTCTGTCGTATCTGTCTTGATCTTTCTTTTGCACACTCCGCACTCAATTTGGGGCTGTGAAGTGGCTCCTAGTAGTAAGGCCAGGAGCCCCTAGTAGCTTCTTGCTCCTAGTAGTAAGGCCAGGAGCCCCTAGTAGCTTCTTGCTCCTAGTAGTATGTCGTTCTCTTGTTATTCTCTCATTCTTTTTCTTAGACCTTCTTGCGAGGCCATCGCTATGAGGTGGAGGCAATCGCTTTTGGGTTGGAGGCCATCGCTGCTAGGTCGTTCCTTTTTTAGACCTTCTTGTATTTCTTCCTTCCTTCTTTCCTTCCTTCTCGCCTTCACATTTGCTCGCCACAGGTCTTCGACTCAAGAAAGGCAACTTCGGCAGAAGAGGGTCCTTTGCCAAGGCCTTTAAAGGTGTTTTTGCAAAAGCCGGATCAAAGGACCCAACTTTGCTTTTTGTTCAGAACGCTTAAGGCTTCTTTGATAAGGGCCCTTACGGCTTTCCTAGTATAGGATCTAAATCTATATGGAATCATACTTCCTTGAAGCTTCCTAGTGGATCCTAGTGCGGCGCTTGCCATACTTGTTGCGAAAGCATCAAGACACGCGATGAGATCTTCCAGATCTGGATAGTGTGGCGCCCATTTGACTTCCTGTTCTGCACATTTCTTGTTGCCTTTGTACACAGCCCCCGGTGCGGTGTTCACAGCGCGGGGGAGTTGTCAAGAAGCAAAGGGAGGACAAGCAGGTCTTATTTCAGAATTCACGCCAGCTTTAATTCCTGCTTCTTCCCACAGGATTGAATCAATAAATATTGCTCAGAAATAGTATCGATTAGTCCTCGCTCTTCACCTCTAAAACAACCTTCATGGCCTTGCAAAGCATCTCATGCAATCTCAAATTTTGCATTTGTAAAAGCATTAAGCACATTAAGCATTTTGCATCTGTCATGTTTCCGCCCAAATTAGCCTCACACAGCTCAGCATCGTGCTTCCTTCAAAGTCGTGAACCGCAATTCCATCTGTTCATTTGCAAGTCCACTAGTCGCTAGCTTGCTGGCTATTTGTGCAATGAAGGGTTGAATGTTCGCAAAGTCTTTGCCTGTCTGACCCGTGCTTGAAAGCTTGCCTTCGGGGCCCACCAGTTTTCGCAAGCCCATCAAATTGAACGAAAGTTGGCGACAAAGAGAGTTGGCCATGTTGGAGCTGACGAACCATGGCCGAGGTGAATAAGCACAGCCAGCAAACTGGATGGATTAGACTTGAAGTCGGTCTCATCTTGGGTGGATTCGCCCAGCTTGTCCTTCAAGTTGCTCAGCTTGGTAGTAGCGATGCACCTTGCTACTAGTAGCTTCTTGCTACTAGTAGCGATGGCCTCCAACCTAGTAGCTTCTTGCTACTAGTAGCTGTGGTTCCAAGGTGCTCAGCTTGACTTCTTGACTTCTTCGTCTAATCCTTAGCGTTCTTCGAGTTGGTCTCTTTTTCTTCGCTCGTGACCTGCATCTAGTAGTTTCTCGTGTCCTTCTCCTATTTCTCCCGTGCTTCCTGTGCAGCTTTCTGCAGCATTGCATCTTGCACCTTCTTCTGGACATCCCCAGACAGGAAGTGTAGCCGCTTCTGCATCTCAGAGACGGCCTGCCAAACTCTTCTGTTTGTCGCAGAACGAATTGGAGGCGTTTTTAGGGTAGGCCGGTAGGCTAGTAGCCTGTGGCACTGCCTGTGGCTTTCTCAAGTAGATAATGGCTTAAGCAAGGAAGCTACTATGCTGGGCACAGAAAATCAAGTTCAAGGGGGTCGTCCTTGAAGGAACTTCGGAAGAACCCTTCGAATGAATCGTTGGTTCTTTTTGACATCCCAATGTCTTAGGGAAGCTTTAAATCCTAGTAGCAAGGACGCTATGCTCGGTGGAGGCCATCGCAAGTAGATTGGAGGCCATCGCTACTAGGAACGAGAAGCTACTAGGGGCTCTTGGCCTTTACTACTAGGAGGACGCTACTAGGGGCTCATGGCATCGCTACTAGTAGCAATGTTCGCTAGGGTGGTTGGATTCGTTCACTCTTCCTCGCAGGATATGCCATGCGAAACAGGCCTCATTGGACTCTTTCAGGACGGTCTTCACTTCACGCTTCAGCTGCAGCACTTGTTGTGAGCTCTCTGAGCATTGACGAACAACTCCTCTCATTTCTTCCAGATCTTTGATACGAACTTGCCGTTCCGAATAATCCTCATCATCAGAGTCGAGCGAAAGGGCTCGATTGATGGGGAAGAAGGAGTAATCCTGCCTGGAAATCCGGTCTTTCACGTAGGACTCAGGGCCATTCAAGTCAGAGTCCTTCGCTTGCTTTAAATACATCAAGAACCGAGCATAACTCCACATGTAGTGCTCCTGGAAGACATGGTGCTCGAATTTGACCATCTGGCGCTCCATGGTTGAACGGTTGATCCCACATATGAAACAGTTGTTCTGTTGGTCGTCGTTCTTCTCCTGTAGATCAGCACGCATATTTGCAAAGGTATCAATAATGATACCTGAGATAATCGCTGCCAGGATGAGAATCACCACCAAGTTGTACAAATAATCGAAGGCAAACTTCCACCAAGACAGTTCCGCGGTGGCCCAAACGGGCCCGGAGCGGAAACCATAGTCCAGATGAGCCAGCAAGCACTCCATCAAGGAGGAGCACTTCGAGGTATCCATGTCAGCGAAGCCGTAGCCCTTGGGAAAGGTGAGGAAACCCAAAACTAAGAAACAGTATTGGACACAAAATCCCAGCACGGCCGTGCCCACCACCTGATCTTTGGTGATCCACAAGGCTTCAAAGACTTTTCCCAAAGTCTCAACTTGTGCACAGGCATACATCAAATGGAGGGAATAGATCAGGAAGTCTACATGAAGCCCAAGAAAGCTTGTTCCAGCCAAAAAGAGCTTGCTGACCAAACCGGCATCCTGGAAGAAGAACCAAAGCATCAAAATTGCTCCAAAGATCCCGTTCAGTCGGTGGTGGGAATGTGGGTTGTCTTCCTTCCATTGGTCCAAGCCTGTATCGATCTTCCATTGACTGTATGCAACGATGTGAAATAGGACCAAGAGCACTGCACAAACGAAATGAGCAGTGCTGAGTGAAGTCAAGACCCACACATACCATTTCTTGGTGTAATGTACGTCATACTCACCCATTTTGTGATCTTTGGAATAGGAGCCATCGTAAAGGAAGGCCACAACAGAGGTGATGCCAATGGTCAGCAAGACAATGGCACTCCGCGCTGTGGCCATGACCTCCCCAGAGGCATTCAGTGGGAATGGCTTCTGGCTCAAATTGTACTGATGCTCCACAAATCCAATGTATTCATCCCGCACTTGCTCTGAAAAGTCTTGCAACTTTGCCTCAGGACCTGTTCTGTCCACGGAATTTGTGCAAGAGTTCTGCCAATCCTTGATCAATGACTGAGCTTTCAAAGTTCTGATGGCCTTGGGCACCAAGAAGAACAGCTTTTGTAACCTTTGTCCTCGGATGATCTCCACCCGACCAAAAAGGAAGTGAAGATACTTGCTGTGGTGCATCTTTGTGACTGCTTCATTAAAGCTGTCGTAAATCTTGGACTTTGAAGTTGCCCACTGATTGCGTGTATGCAGCACGAGATTGGCAGTTTGCCCACGATCTAGTGTTCCCTCAAACAAGCCGCGATTGCCAAACTCCGGTGATTGCTGAATACCCTCGAAGAGAGCCCAACAAAGAAAGCAAAGCTCTAGCGAATGCTCTTCCTGGGTCTCAAGTGGATAGTCAGTGGATTCCTTCTCTCCCTTGGTGCGTATGATCTGCTCAGCGGTGTCATTTTCAATGACTTCGTCGGCATCTTGCACCGGGCTGATGAAATGTATGGGATCACGGGATTCTGGAGAAAGGTTCCAATGATTGATCACCTTGTCACAGATGATCTTCGGGTTTAACTCTTCGACCATCCGCCGAATGGTTGTTCCTTTATGCTCCACCAGTTCCTCCGAAACCTCCCGGAAATTCGGGTCTTCGGGGTCGAGCTCCTCCTCCTCGAGCAAACTCATCAGAAATTTCAGCACCGAAATCTCACAGAGCCGCATGGATTCCAACAATTTCATAAAGGGTTCAAACAATTCTTCGTTGTCTTGCAATAGAGCTCGAAAGGTAAACTCATCGATGCGCTGTCGCATCCATAGCTGGTTTACATCAAGAAGGATTTCGCTTTCCAACAGCAACCGCTGATTTCCACGGTTGGGACCCTGAACAATTTCTGCTGCCGTGTCAAAGAGCTGCTTCAGCATTGAGTACTTGATCTCCGAACCTTTCATTGAAACTTGCCACTGCTGATCTGACTTCATCTGCTCAATGCTTTGCCTTGCCAGAGTGCAAATCCACTCCACCAAGTTCGTGGGATTTTGAAAGCTATTGCGATCCTGGTCATCGTCGTCATCATCCTCACTCTTCTGCAAGTATTCTGCCATGAGTGTTGCAAAGTCCTTCCCTTCGATGGACAGATCTTCGCCAACAAATGCTTGCAACGTGGAGTTGTGACCTTCACAAAGATTTTGCAGCTTCCGCAGCATTACACCGATGACTTGGACATCATCTTCCCCATGTTGCTCGTTGGAATGAAAATCTGAGAATTGATACGCCAAAGCCTTCTGCAAATTCAACTGAGGAAAATCAAACTGCTGAAAGGCAGCCTGAAGACTCAGGTCAGCATCCTCCAATAAATTGCAACCCAACTTCAGGGCCTCCAATCGAAGCCAAACATCAGGGTGGTACAGCATTTCAGGAACCAAACGCAGTGGATCCGTAGGCTCAACTTGCGCATCCTCAAAAAACCTCAGCAATCTCAGGCGAACTTTTCTCTTCAGATCCCGGTCGATGCTGAAAGGGCAGAAGAAAATGGCCTTTTCCACAACAAAGGACTTCAAGAACTGGTGACTTACCTGTTGTGAAGGCGTCCACCTTTCCCATTCCTCTTCGACATCTTCCTGTCGTGTGAATATTTCTTGCAAAATGTTCAGTAAGGATGCGCAGCAAGCTCTCGACAAAAGCATTTCCCCTGTGTCATCAAAGAGCTTTTCAAAGATATTCTCTTCGTCTTCTGTGACCAGCTTTGCTCCATCTTCAGAGAAGCTTAAGCGAGGCTGGTTTGTAAATGCAACTGACCTGACCACGTGGCAAATGCGCAGAATCCATGATCTCAAAGTGTCCATCCGCTCATCTTCCGGTTCTCGATAGAGAATGATGGGGACTTCAGAGTCAGTCATCTCATCAACAGAATGCTCGCTCAAGGTTTCAAAAACCCGTGTCAAATTTGGGAATGTCTGCTGGACCTGGAGTTCCCAATCCTTGCGATCAATGTCAAGCTTTGTGAGCAAGTGCTCCAGCATTACATAGCTGCAAGCTCTGTTCATCATGGCAACAACGTATTGGTGCTCTGCTTCCAATATCCTTTGAAGTTTCACATGATCAAGGCCAGACACTCCACCGCTCAAGCCAAAGCATTGCTCTTCTACAATATCCACCAAAATGTTTCGGTAGCGCGGCATGAACTCATGAATGACCATCCGGGAAATCTTCTTCTTCTCACTCATGGGTTCAAGAGCGCTCTGACTCTGATTCCCTGGCTCATTGCTGAGCGCATGATGTTGACTGCCAAGATGCACAACTTTCTGAATCACTTGCGAGTCAAAGCTCCGGGGACTTGTCACAGCAATGATTCTCGGATTGGCAACTGTGACCTTTGCTCCACGGGAATCGAATAAGCATCGGGATCTCATGGTGACAGTCTCCGCTCCAAGCACTTGAAGGGATAGTTTCTTGCGCCCCAGGACGTATGAGAAGTTTTCCAAGAAAATGATCTCAGAATGATTTGAAGAACCTTCCCCGCTTGAGGAAGATGTTCCTCTTTCAACCTCGACTTCAAAGTATACCTGGTTCATGGCCGTCATGGCCATGTCCTTATCACCGTCATGGGCTTGACTAGCATGGGAATTCTGAGCATTCGCCGCAAACAAGGCCTCTTTGATGTCTTGAGTCTCGATAGTCACATGAACTTCCATGAGAATGGTCATCAAGACGTTTTCTTCGAAAAAGAGTTTCATACCCAAGCTCCGCATCGATTCCAGCAAGGCTTCATGGACATTCCAACTCTTCTCATCCGTTCCGAAGAGCTCAAAGCTGGGATGCGTGAGTTGTTGTCTCCTCCAAAGGTTTACATCAATTCGAAGGTTCTGTGCCAGCTTCGCATCACCGAGTTCCACTAGCTCATACATGAAGTCCTTCAAGTCCTCTTCCTCTTTGGCTACCTTGGTTGACAAAGGCATCTGCAAGCCTCGTGGCATCACAAAGGCATCCGCTTGCGCCGCGAGCTCTTGGTGCCCAAAATGGCTGCGAAACGGCTTCGAGTGTTCTTGATCTGCAAGCTTCTCCTGAGCTGAAGTCTGCGCATGGCGGCCAACCCTTGCTGCAGTGACCTTCCAAAGCTCACCAAAGTCATCACCAGCTCCAGTAGAAGAAGCTCCAAATGCTCCAGAAGCTGAGGCTGAAAATCCAAATCCTGAAGCATCAGGAGAGGAGACATGATCTCCTTCTCTTTGGTCTCCCTGATCTCCTTCGTCAACTTCTTCGAAGACATCTTCCTTGAAAGCGCTTTGTTCTTGAGGCCACCAAGGACGTTGCAACTGAGCAGTGAGGAAACCTGTCACACCGGAGTCATGTGCTTCAGATGCCACAGACTTCAGGATGCTTTTGGTAATGGAAGTCTTTTCAGGTCCGATGCGTTGCAGCAGGTCATAGGCCCGAGTGCGCTGATCATTGTCACAAAGCCCAAGGTCGAGAATCTGCTGAATGCAAACGCACATCTCTTCATCGATCTGCCATTCACGATGACACCAATCTCGTTGATCAAAAAGGACTGTCCAAAGTTGTGTAAGGATGTCCGGACCATCTTGAAGATCTTCATCTTCTCGCCCTTGTTTTTTCCTGACCTTCGGTCGAAGAACTTTGCGGTTCAAAGGTTCCATTCGTGACCATGTGTTCGAAATCTTGAGCCACTTTGTCAGCTCCTGGTGGCTGATCAGCTGGCCCTCCCAAAGCAAATTCAGTAGGTGCTGCGCCAGAGGCCAAGAAGTTTGTGGCCCACCAGCGCTTCCACACGTTCTGCTCATTGTATGCTTTTAGAACTTCCAACAGCAAAAGGAGCAAATGGTCTCGAATGAAATATGGCGTCAGTGCGAATGCGATTTGCGCATCGATAGCTTCGACCACAGGAGAAATACGAGGACTAAAGACATGCAGTTCTGGGAAGCGGCGAAGGTACTGAGTGAACCATTGAATCAACAAAAGGACAATATGGCTTGGCTTCTCAGGGATCAACCGGAGTCGTTGAGATCTTGCATCCCAACGATCATGTAGCATGTCTTCGATCTCATGTGGCTGCAACAAAATGCAAACCATTCTCAAATATGCATCTTGCACAACAAGGGGAATTTCTTGCTCAGAATCAGATGCCAGCCAGTAGACCACGTGGCGAAAATACCGTTGCCTGGCCATGCCGTACTGAGACTCTTGGTCATCATCGTCGTCCTCTTCACCACCGTCTTCCATCTCAGGCCGTTGACACTTTATGACTTCCCTGGCAAAATGTCTCAAAACTGTCCTGTTGGCACCAAAGGCTGAGCATTTCAACATCAGTTCAATGGATGCCAAGGCAAAAGTTGTTGGAAACATTCGCTGTGTTCCAAGTTCCAGCTTGCTCACTTGCCCCAGCGGATCCATGCGTTCCCCTGTCTCGCCATCTCGCATCTCCTGCATGTCCCCACGTGCAGCTGCGCTTCTCAGAGCTTGTCGTGCTTGATTTCTGAGCTCTAGTTGCTCCAAGTAGTCTTTGATTTTGTCCCGGTTGTCTTTCAGGTTGATCTTTGCACTTAGGAAGCCATCTTTGGCCATAGCGATGAAGGGGCTTTCAAGTCGAAAAACCGTATTCTCCTTTAAGAACTCCATGGCTACGATGTTCCCATTGTTTCGGCTTTCGATGTCCTTTCTGGACGTGACCACGGCATTGAGAACGCGAAGTGCATCAAGGGATACCATGGGTCGTGCAGTTAAGTTTTCCTTCAACACTTCCATCATTTCTCGGACAAAGGATGGTGTCACATGCTCGGAAGCATCGGGATTCTTGAGGTATACATTGACCAGGAGTCCGGAGATGCCCATGTCTTCATATGCTAAGGATTTCACCAGAAATCGAAAGACATCGGATCTCAAGAAGATCTTGCGATACATTGGGAGCACAGCAGTGAAGGTTTGTAGAAATCTCACTGCGATGTCAAAGGCACTGTCTTTGTGTTGCAAAACCTTTTCAGCCATCATCGAGTCGCGTAGAGGTGCCGAACTTCTTAGAAAGCTCAGGACCCGAAGGGCCAGAAGCTCCACACGGTGATATTTCAACAAATGCCCATCTCCTTGCTTGCAAACCGAAATGAAATGCCGAAAGAGCTTCCCCAGTTGTGCTTTCTCATCTCTCACAGGATAGAGTTGGGTGAGGCGAAGTCGCAAAGTGATCTCAGGATCTTGCTCCGGTGTCAATTGAGAAGGGTCTTCCTCGTTGAAGCACACAAACAACTGCGTTGCCCCATACACCATGTCCTCGTGAATGTCAATCGAAACAAGTCCTGTATCCTTCTTTTCACCATTGTCTCCGTCCTTCATAAGGGCGTTCCATTCCACTCCAACCATTCGCCGCAAGTGGGTGGTGGTATTGGTGTAAAAGGAATTGAAGGCTTTCTGGGATGCCACGTGCGCACCACGGACGAATTGAGCAGATTCAATGAACGCTTGCGTCAAAGCCACGTTCACGCACCACGTGGTCGACTTCTTTGGTACAACGGGCAATTTGAAGGCTTTCAACTTTTCCAGGTATTCACTTCTGAAGTCTGCGCCAGATGAGGAGGCGCACGAGTTCCAGCCATTGTAGATCATCGCTGTTTCATCATCTGGGCTCTTGATGCAGTAGATATCCCTCAAAACATCGTACATAATGTCAACCACCAAGGAACTTTCATCCAGTTTTGTGTCTTTCTGCGAAATCAAAATGCCCTTGCCACGCCTAGGCCTGCCTTGGTTGAATTTCACCTGTTGCTGTAGAGCGCCCAGGACCACACAAGGCACTGAACTTTCTTCGACCTCTCTGTCAATGCAGGCGGTCCGAAAACCATCCACATAAATGAAGAGCTTGGGAGTTGCACCTGTGTAGTCAAGCTCCAGGCCAACACAGCTGCCTTGTTGAAAACCTCCAAAACTATCATTGATAGCCTGGCCCCGAATATACAGCTGCCCGAGCTCATCACAGCCAAAAAATTCGCTAGGAGGTTTGAAGCGGTTCATTTTCACATCATCACTGTCCTCTTTCGGGGGCACAAAATGAGAGCTGAGAACGCCAATGAAAAGAGGGCAATGCCTGCTTTCCTCTGCATCCTGCATATCCCTCTTTGGCAAGCTTTTGACATCGAAATCAAAATTCAGAATTCGCGCATCCCCTTGCAGATTTGTTGCAGCCATTCGAACCACTTGCTGATGTAGCTGGTGCTTGTCCGCATACTCAATGAGACGATCTCCTCTGTCTTTGATATCAATGTAGCTACTTTGGGCATCGTCTTCATTCCAATCGTTGTTTTCAAACTGGTGGGCATAGTGCTCAAGGCCTTCCCTTTCAGCAAAGATCTGCTGCTCCTTCAAGTCCTTTTCCATCTGATTGATGTGATCAATCACTCGGTCTGTCTCCTTCACCCAACTTTCCAGGACATTGAAAATGTTCTTCAAACAAATGAAGAAATTAGATAAGATTTATTCATGTTGGCGTCAACGACGTAAACACATAAAGACACAGAGCGATGGCCTCAAACCCAAAAGCGATGGCCTCCAACCTAATAGCGATGGTCTCCAACCAAATAGCGATGGTCTCCAACCTAAGAGCAATGGCCTCATACCTCATAATAAGGATGGCCTCCAACCTAATAGCGATGGCCTCCAACCTGATAGGCATGGCCTCCAACCCAATAGCGATGGCCTCCAACCTAATAGCGATGGCCTCCAACCTAAGAGCCATGGCCTCCAACCTAATAGCGATGGCCTCCAACCTGAAAGCGATGGCCTCCAACCTAAAGCGATGGTCTCCAACCTCTTGGCGGTGGCCTCCAACCTAATTAATAGCGACGGCCTCCAACCTCATGGCGATGGAATCCAACCTAAATTCGATGGCCTCCAACCTCATGGCGATGGCCTCCAACCTAAAAGCGATGGCCTCCAACCTCATGGCGATGGCCTCCGACCTTATGGCGATGGCCTCCAACCTGATAGCGATGGCCTCCAACCTGATAGCGATGGCCTCCAACCTGATAGCGATGGCATCCAACCTAATACCTATGGCCTCCAACCTAAAAGCGATGGCCTCCAACCTCATTGCAATGGCCTCCAACCCAATAGCGTTGGCATCAAACCTAATACCGATGGACTCCAACCTCATGGCAATGGCCTCCAACCTAAAAGCGGTGGCCTCCAACCTGAAGGCGATGGCCTCCAATCTAAAAGCGATAGCCTCCAACCTAAACTCCAAGCTCATCGCAAAGGCCTCCAACCTAAAAGCGATGGCCTCCAACCTCATGGCGATGGCCTCCAACCTAAAAGCGATGGTCTCCAACCTTATAGCAATGGCCTGCAACCTAAAAGCGATGGTCTCCAACCTCATGGCAATGGCCTCCAACCTAAAAGCGATGGTCTCCAACCTCATAGCAATGGCATCCAACCTAAAAGCGCTGGTCTCCAACCTCATGGCGATGGCCTCCAACCTAAAAGCGATGGCCTCCAACCTCATAGCAATGGCCTCCAACCTAAAAGCGATGGTCTCCAACCTCATGGCAATGGCCTCCAACCTAAAAGCGATGGCCTCCAACCTAAAAGCGATGGCCTTCAACCTAAAAGCGATGGTCTCCAACCTCATGGCAATGGCCTCCAACCT